CATATCATAAAACATAAACATGAGGAGCGGTACGATCACGCCTTTGTCTTGCCACGGTCTCCTGAAGAACCTGAAACCTTTCAGAACTGTAAGCCCGAAAGCTTAGTGAGATACCCCCAAAATACCAACCACAATACCATACACGCATAATATCATAACCAAAACAGAACAGCCATGCACTTCGGGTCTACTGTGCGACTGGTCCGCCACACGGCCTATAGTCCACCTGGTCCACCCTCCGAGTCTAGCCATATACATTGAGTCTACAGTGTGATTGGTCCGCCCGCATCGGGCCTTCAATTCACCTGGTCCACTCTCTGAGTCTACAGTATGACTGGTCCACCCGTGTTGGGCCTTCAGTCGGCCTGGTCCACTCTCTGAGCCTCGACACGTTTGGTCCGCCCTCTCAGGTCCTTCAGCCTATCCAGACCACTCGCTGGGCCTTCGGGACAACCGGTCCGCCCTGGGTATGTTGGCCTACAACATAAAGCAAGACCCGCCTCAACCCAACCCCAGTCCAACAACCATGTAAACAGAAACATATAATCATATATCAATTCACAACTAAACAAACCGATCTTAACAGATCACATACATAACACATCCCTACCAGGATTCCGACCTAACTGGTCACTAGCATAGCATCATCCTATAAACCAGGATACCGACCCTAACCAGGTCTCTAACATAGACCATCCTAACTAACAGGATACCCGGATTTCCATCCGATAAAGGGCCGGCCTTGGTGCCTTAGACCCTGTTGATATAGTGAGGATAACTCACCTCGCAACTCCTGACTGAAAAGATAAGATCACACTGCTCCAATCTCCAACACGAACTCCACCATTGATCAATACCAAAGGACTGAACTCAATAAATACCAATAATTACCGAAATACCCCTGGAAGTCAAGTGATCAACACTTGGTCAAAGTCAAAGTCCTCAGTCAAATTCAACCCTCCTGACTGACTCTACTCGCCGAGTCAACCCACTGACTCGTCGAGTCTCTATACTCAGAAACTTCCAATCCACGACTCAACTCACCGAGTCGCCCCAAGACTTGCCGAGTCCAACAAAACTCTGAGTCACTTCCTGCTGAACTCACCGAGTCGTCCCTCGACTCACCGATTCACAGTTCAACCAAAAAGGTTAGGACTTCATGACCAGACTCACCGAGTCCAAGGCAATCTTCAACAGACTCGCTGAGTTGTTCTTCCAACTCATCGAGTTCCTTCCTATCTTCATCCAACTCGCCGAGTTCACCCATGTGACTCGCCGAGTACCTCTAGTTCTTAATCCATACAGTGGCTATCCAAGCCATGCAGGGGCTCCAAACCATAGATCCACTCCCCTACAACTTATCCATCACGTAAAGTGGCAAACATTATTTGAATCCAAAGAGATCTAAGCATAATACACTCTTGGGCATAAACTTTATGGCTTCTTGGATCATGAATAGCCTATATCTGAGGTAGCAACCTCAGATCTTACACCAAACTCGAGATAGACCTCATTTATGCCCTAAAAACCCCACAATTGATAGATCTAGATGCACAAAAACTCAAACAACAGATTATTACCTCAAATGAAAGCTCCAACTGAAGATTAAGCTAAATCTCTGCAAAGCCCTTGCTCCAATCTTCTTTTTCTTCAATTTCCCTCCAAGATTCCCTCCTCAAAGGCTCTAATCTCTCACAAAGGAAAGCTCACACGAATCTAGGGCTTCTGGAACTCAAAGGGAAGGTAAAGAGGCTGGGGAGAGGGTATCTTGTTCTTTATATAGGGCTCAACCCCCGGGATTAGGGTTTTCTCCATACAACACTAACTCACCGAGTCCACCCATGCGACTTGCCGAGTTGGTCACTTAACACGTGACCCGAAACGCGACTCAACTCGTCGAGTCTATCCATCGACTCGCCGAGTCGACCTTCATATTTACCCTTTTAGCCCTTCAACTATAATTCTGAATTTCCGGGATGTTACAACAAGGCCAGCTCCTTAGACTTAAGGAGATTATATAGGGGTGCAAAACCCTGAAAATTAGGGTTCTCTCAAACAGCTGTCAACACGTTGTGTTAGTCCAATAAAATACACTGCCCCAAAATTCTCAACATGCCATGTTGAGGCTTCCCCACGCCATGTTCCAAGGGAAGGATATGCATAAATGGGAATAATTCTATATCTGAAAATTCGGGATGTTACATACGATGTGGTGTCTGTTGCAGCCCAAGCCCATAATTATTAGGGTTTCTCGCATATTTAAGGACATTAAATTTAAGGTTAGGTCATTCTCTTTAGCCTCCACCTTCCTATCTCAAAACCTTATCCCTTTTCAGTGTTCTTCAGGTGTTCTTGGTCACTTGAAGTCTCATTTCTTATGTTTTGGTGTGGAACTTAAAGACCAAGTTGCTTGCAAACCGTTTTGGTGAAGAGCTCAAGTGCAGATGTAGAAAATGGACTTTATTTCTAGATCATTGTGAATATGAAGCTTCAAACTTTACTTCAAGTTAGTTAGATCTAGCTTATGGTCCATTTTTTATGTCTTCTATCCCTTTTTTGTTGGTGTTCGTTGAGTTGAGATGACTCCATACCTTTTTAAGCACTAAGGATTGTCTTCTACACCTCTTCTTGTTGGAAAGTAGGTAGCTTGATCTTTTCCTTGGAGTCATGCAGGTTTTGTGAAGGATTTATGCCATTTTGAATTTAGGGTTATAGATATTACTTTGGGGTGAGGTCCTAATGCATAAACTTGGAAACTTTTTCCATTAATTCATATAGAAGGCCTATATCTGAATTTTTAGGCTTATACCTATGAGGATTAAGCTCTTAATGAAGAAATAAGAGTTCTGCTAGCAACAACGACATGACCATGGAGGGCCCACGATGTGGTGGAATGCTGATTCGCAATTCTGTTCTCCTGACATTCCTATGACATGGCCAAAAACGGCCCATGACATGGCGATGTCCTGCATGTCGTCTATTTTTCATGTCATGCCTACGACATGGCCAAGAAGTCTCCAAATTGTGGTGGTTGTTGACTTGGGTGACCATTGACCTTCGTTGACCGTTGACTATTGACATTTGACCAGCTGTACTTGGGGTCAAACTTGGGGGATTTGGGTTGTTGATTGAGGATTCATCTCTTTTGGTTTTATTCGGTTTGCGAGATGAAGCAGTGCAAGGTGTAAGATTTTTTTGTGCTTCTCCGGTTCTTCAGTTCAGGTTAGTTTCTTACTATGTTGTGTATCCTAATGTATATCCTTTGCATGATAGGATAGTGGTACTTTTAGAGTACAAGTATGCTAATTGACTAGGATAACTCTTTGTTATGCATGTGTAGTTTAGAACATGTGGTGTCTTGGTATGCTAGACTAGTAGGGTCTTGCATGTTGATCGTATGATACTGTTAGGATTTTTGTTTGATTGGGGTAACTGGGGAAGACAAGTTATCAGGATTATGTATCATTGACCAGTGAAGAAATTAAGTGAAAAGTGGTCAATAGTTAGGTAACTAGGGAAGGCTAGTTATCAAGGGTATGTAATATGCTAGAATATGTTATGTATTTATGTACGTGATTATGTGGTAATGATAGCATTAGTTCTATGTAATTTAGGTTGGATAGCCTCAGAATTCTTAATCTAATGGCTTATTTTGATGTTCTTGTCTGATTGTCCGCTCTCGGGTGGATCATCTGTTTGACTCTCTAATCTAATCCCCGACTACATATAACTTTTTGAATTGTTTTAAGGCTAGGATTTGGTCCCTGGAAAGGACAAGGAAAGACTATGATTTGGCCTATAACATTCACTTGGGTTTGGAGTAGATCTACTATTCCATATATGTTTATTATATATGATAGATAGGCATGTTGAGAGCAGATTTGGCAGGTCGGTGCTAGAGCCGAAAACTATTTATAGATGCATTATATATATGGTGGAATATATGGTATACTGGGAAACTCATTAACATTTATGATTAAATTTATGGTTGAAATGTTTTGCAAGTTGTTCATGAGAAGAGCTCGAAGGGACTTTACACACGCATCAAAGATATATGTTTCCGCGGTTGTATAATTACACTTTCATAATGTATGGCTTTAACAAGCGAATGTTACTTAAAGATTTTTGAGATAAAGTTGTCAATTGGCTAATTTATTTTGAAAATGAAAAATATCTGTCACAAGTTGGTTTTAGAGCCTTGGTTTGATGGATTCGGGTGTGCCTTACAGTTTGTCTAAACTCAAACTGCTGACTGAGATATTTTCTAAATAAGTTTCTGAAAGAGAATGCCCTTATCCAAGAAAAGAGTTCCTAAAAATGTTTTATAATAACTGAAGGATGTGATGTGTATAGTTAGCTGAAACTCAGGTAGTAAGTGATTCCTAATATACCCATATGATTATGTAATTGTGCTATGAATTGTTATGCAACCTAGAATCTAGGTTGTAGGTCTACTTTGGATTGCATGCTAGAATTGTCTGATCTGTATAAATGCTTCATATTCCTTTTATGTGTATTTTTGTATGTGTTATAAGATCTTTGCCTGATTTTAATATAGAGGTATGTTCGATGTACAAGTATGTGGGAATGGAAGAATTCCAGAGAGAGAGAGAGAGAGAGAGAGAGAGAGAGAGAGACTCTAGGAAGTGTAGTATTATGCATATGGCAAGACATACGCACGCACAAGATGAGTTTAGCAGAGTGATGTGAAGTGACTTAGGAGTCTTGGAACGGGTACGGAAAGGTATGGAAGGTAGTATTGGGCCCATACTACTAAAAGCATAGGATCCATACTCAGGTCAAGGAAGTGTTATGGGGATATTAAGGAACTTATAGTTGGGTATGCATAGTGTGGGTTTGCACTGTGCATTGATTTTGATGTCTTCTCATTATATTTCAAATTCATAATAGCGACCATTCGTGTTGGAGATTCATATCTGAGTGAAGGGGATGTATGCGACATCATTGTTGAAGAGATTTAAAGGTTCACGAGGGAGTTTATGCCTAGTTTGATCAGTGTTGTCGGGGATGAGTTGCTTTCTGAGATAGACGAGCACTTTAGGGTCCTTGGTACTTATTTGGAGGTCGGTGGACTCAGGACTCGTGAGGTTTTTTCAAGGATTTTGATGCTTGTGGATCTCCTCGTTTCATTAGGAGTAGGGATCCGATCATTATCTCGCGTCGAATTGCTGATGTGGAGAGTGCCATTCATACCAAGTTTTGTCCGGCCGAGGCAAATGTCAAATTTCCAGAGTGTCTTTTGCACAATACAGCTAGGGATTGGAGGCGCGAGGTTGTTCTTTTCCTCGAACTAGATGACGTCGAGTCTATGTCATGGGAGGATTTTGTCATCAGATTCAAGAGAGTTTGTGTCGGCGATTGAGGTTCATGTTGGATTACGTGTCTAAGCTCATAAATATAATTGACATAAACTTTAATTGATAGTAGCACAATCATTTTAGGTTGTCTTCAAACCTAGCAATTGAATATGATAGCTTTTAGAAAGAGAGTGATTTATTAATTTATTATATGGTTAATAAATTAATTGGAAATCATAATAAATGATTTGTTAATATATTATGAGAATAATATAATAATTACAAATTGTAATATTTAATTAATAATTAATCAGAAATTAATTAGATTAATTTTGGGATTAATTGAATTAACTAAACGTGCAAGGACTTAAGCTATAATTGTTCAATAGTTGAACAAAGTGTTCCAGAACCTTCCCCAAAGATGGTGGACGATTTTGAAGGGTATTTTAAGGGTTTCTAGAATATCCTTAAAGATAATTAGGGAATTGGATAATTACCTAGTTTGAAATATTAGTATAATATTCAAATTAGGGTTTCAAGGTTTTCCTACTACTTCTATAAATAAGGTCGTAAGCCTCATAATTTCGGCCAAGCATTCTTAGAAAATCTAGGGCCAAATTCTAATCTCTCTCTTTTCTCTCTTCAAGCTCCTTGGTCACTAGGGTTTGGGTGTGAACCATTAGAGACGCGACACTTGTGGTGCTTGCTTCCAAGAGTCTTTCAAAGAGGAATTCATGATTGTTTATTACAACAATCTTAAAGGTTAGTTTTCTTGTTCTTATAAGTTAATTAGATCATAGAAACGTTTTATAACCTAGGGTTTCTATGCTTTAATTAAAAGACATATATCCAACTAGGTTGCATGTGCCCTAATCAATTTAATTGTTTGATTGTTTTCTGCTTAAGGCATTGTTGTTGTAACCCCTTAAACGCATCAATGGTATCAGAGCCATGGGTGTTCTTTCATGTATTTACACATTTGTTAATCAATTTTCTGGAAAAATCGATCTCACAACTTGAGCATAGTTGTTCACGACGTGAGATCTGATAAAATCCGAATCTGTTTGTTGTCTGACTGGTCTCACGACGTGAGCTTAGAGGCTCATGACGTGAACTCAAATTTCTGAGGATTATGTTTAATGTAAGATCAATCAATAGAAAGAATTTTTTTTTCAAAAATTTACTTCTCACAACATGAACATTTTGGTTCACGACATGAGATCGGTTCTGATCCGAAAATTTGGAGATTATCCACCTATTTTGTTACATATAATAATTATTTGTTATGTATATCTTGCAAACCCGATTTTGTTGAATAGTTGGTGATAAATAGAATACCTAAATGTTACGATTGGATAATGATAATTTTATTTGCTTAGAATTATCCTTATGGATGTTGGAGTTAATTACATGAATCATCCCTCATGAAGGTGTTAATAGACATGTTTAGTCCGTATTTTTAAAAATTAACTTGGATCATCCTTTGTTTGGTTAAAAATTACATGTTTCATCCCTCGTTTATTTAAGTATGCACGTTTCATCCTTACCATAAAATGAGTATTATGCTCTTTTGGTATTTCTTTTTCCAACTAAATTAATGTTCTTCTTATTTATCATTAGTTTTAAAAAAAAAAAAAAAAAAAAAAAAAAAAAAAAAAAAAAAGATAAAAAATTATGACCCCACTTTATCTCTCTATTTCTTTTCTGATTAATTAAATGTTCTTCAAGATCCAGATCACCATCTTCGTTAACAAATCTGGTTCCTGACGCCACCATCGATCACCACCTTCATTCACAAATTTGGTTCCTAGCACCACCTCCGGTCACCATCTCCGTCCATAGATTTAGTGCCAGGCAGTAGCTCTGGTCACCTTCTCCGACAATAGATCCACTACCACAGAAATCACCCCAAACTAAACACCAATTTACCTAATAAAATACATATAAACGCGAACCTGCAACTCAAATACAAAAGAAAAATCCAATCTACAACTAACACCCAAAACCAAAATCAAATCTGAAATTCAAATGCAAACCCAAAATCAAAACTTCAATTCAAACTCAAGTCCAAAACAGAAATCCCTAATGCCAAAATCGCCGGTTGTTGTGTTTTGCTTTTCTGAAATTGAATCCATTTTGGAAAACGAAGCACTGGTTTCATCGTAGGAAGTGTTACAAAGATGGATGAAGTTGTGTCGGGTGGTGAAGATAACCAGTTTGCTAGACTATTGTTGTCGATTAGGGAATGTGAACGTCGGAATTCCAAACGCAGTGTACATAGGAGTTTCGCACACAATGAATTCCGAAGTTCCACATTGGAGTTCCTAGCTCTACTTCGGAGCCATGGAACTATGGAAGCCATGGAAAACGGGTATGACACTGAACCTATTAATCTCCAAATCGAATTTGAAATCCATAACCCTAAGAGTTTGTATCCAGTTCGTGCACTGCCTCCGGGAAATGTGTTTTCCAAGCGTTCAAATTCGGACCCTGCATGTTTGAAATCGTCTCTGTTATGTCCTTCAACCTTTGTCTACTCCAATTAGATAATAGATTATGAAGTTGTGATCTTTTTTACTCTTATTGAAAAATAGATTATGAAATCCCTAAACAGATCAGCAAACTACAGATCAACCGACAAACCATAGATGCCGAACAGATCCATAACAAGAAGACCAAGGTATCTTGTTCTCAATCGAACGCACCCCTCACCGGTGGTGGAGTTGGTGCTTGTTGGAGCTTAAAAAGTTAACAGGGGAGATGGCTGTGAGACAGAGTTGCTTCGTGTGATTCATGTTCCTCAACCATTTTCGTTCTTCTTCAAACTCTCTTGTCCGTCAAAGGAATATGGCAGTAGTGGAAAAGAAGATGAAAATGGGATTAAATTTTGATGGTGATGTTTTGGTCTCGCCGGAGAGTAGAGACCACGAAAGGAAAATGGGAAAAAAAGGTGGAGGGGTGGGTTGGTATCAATGTTTTAAAATCCGGTTTAAAATCCGGTTTGAATAGATCGATCGAACCGGTTGGACCGGGAACCGGATGAGGGATTGGTTCGATTATCACCGGTTTTACATTGATTTCTGAACCGGATTGAACCGGCCGGTTTTTAGAAAAAATCCGGTTGAACCGGTCAAAATAAACCGGTTAAACCGAATAAAAACACCTGAAAAACAACCATTTACATAATAAACTTTGGTGATTTTTTTTCCAAATCTATTGAGTTTTCTCTAAACAAAAACATATGATTAATGTTATAAAGTTTTTTTTTATGTGGTTGTATTCATCTAAAACTATATGTCGTTTCGATATTATATTTTATTTTGTTTTTGACGTATATGGATTTATGTAACACTAAAACTTATGGTTATGGTTATTTTAATGCATTTGGATTTATTTACAAATTATTTTTATGTGTATTTTAAATGTTTGAACTTGTAAACATCAAATTCATAATTTATATAAGGATGTATGTGTAGGAAAATAGAAAAAGACATGAAAAATAGAGAAACCGGTTCACCCGGCGGTCGAACCGTTAAACCGGGTGAACCGTAAACCGATCATCATACCGGTTCAACTAAAAAACCTGTTTTTAAAACATTGGTTGGAATTGATATTTTCTTCTTTTCATTTTTTTTAATTTAAAAATGATAAACTAATAAAAGAAAATTACAAACAAATTGTTAAGGACAAAATAGTCTTTTTATGTCCGGAAGGATGAAGTGTGCAAGTTTTAAACAAACTATGGATGATACGATTTAACTTTTGAAAAAGTGACTGAACATGTATTTTAACATATGTACAAGGAATGATTCTTGTAATTTACTCTGGATGTTATTATTAATTTAATTAATTGATTAGTTAAATGATAATTAACAAATCCATAGATGGTTTCAATTTAATTAAATTAAAAGTTTAATTTATTAAAAGATTAAACTGAAGCGATCCAAAAATACGACCCAAAAAAAATTTTCAATTTTTATTATAACAAACCATGAAACCAAGTATCACATAATAAAACCATACGTTGCGTGTTTCAAAAACCATGATAAAATACTGTGCGAAAAACTGTATCACATGAAACGACCCAAAAATACGACCCGAAAATTTCATTTTTAATATAACTAAAAATCATAAATCTGAGTATCATATAATAAAACCATACACTATGTATCTCAAACCATACTAAAATACTATGAGAAAACTGAGTCACAACTGTATCAAAACATATCTAAGAAAACTGTATCAACTCCCAAGACAAAAACTGAAGCTGTGGTGTGTGCGATGCCATCATCCCGAGCTCTTCCCTTTACTTGCGGAAGTACCTGAAACCAAAACTGAAACTATAAGCACGAAGCTTAGTGAGCTCCCCCAAACTACCACATACCATGCAATAACATATAAAGCATAGACTGGGGCCTTGCCCCCTCCATCGAACCGAAGTCCGAAGCTGACTGACTGAGACCTTTTCCCTTACATCGGACCGAAGTCCGAAGCTGACTGGCTGGGACCTTGTCCCCTACATCGGACCGAAGTCCGAAGCTGACTGACTGGGACCTTGTCCCCTACATCGGACCGAAGTCCGAAGCTGACTGGCTGGGACCTTGTCCCCTACATTGGATCGAAGTCCGAAGCTGACTGACTGGGACCTTGTCCCCTACATCAGACCGAAGTCCGAAGCTGACTGGGACCCCGTCCCCTACATCGGACCGAAGTCCGAAGCTAACTAACTGAACACAGCTTAGCATAACATATCAACTAGCATAAACACATAAATCCTGTCTGAGCCACGGAGGCGTCAAACATACTAACTACTGCTTTGGACCGAAGTCCAGAAACTACGGCTAACTGAACGGGCCGGGATTGTGGCCTTAGACCCGTTCCTACTGGAAGGAAACTCACCTCATGAACTGGCTACTGTGTAAATGGCTCTGGAAACTGTCTGCTGTAGCTCCGGTATCTCCCCGACTACAATTCCATAAACACACTCAATCAAACACTAATCACTGCATTGGGGTAAAATGACTCTTTTACCCCTGGTCAAATCCAACTCTCCTGGTCAAAGTCAACCTACAGTTGACCTGACTCGCCGAGTTGGGCCGCCAACTCGCCGAGTCCCTATTCTCACTTCTCAAACCTACTCGATGCTACTCGTCGAGTATGGCATCAGCTCGACGAGTTCCCTTTCGAATCTAAAACTCAGGCAATCTGCATCCGACTGTAACGTCATAAAATTCCAAACCAAAAATTTTTCATTTTTACAATCATCAAAACATGAGTAATAAGTTTAGGTTCCAATGTAACAATTTAGTCACAACCGATTACATAACAAAAGATCACAAAATGGTTTCCCCGAGTGTGTGTACGATCACACCGACGCCTTCCCACGGTCCTCGCTAGTACCTGAAACACATAACACAACAACTGTAAGCATAAATGCTTAGTGAGTTCCCCAAAATAAAACCTACGCACGTACGGCTTTCCAGGCCTTGACCTTCCGGTCCATGTGTCTCAGGGGACTTCCGTCCCGACTGGGTAAACCTTCCGGTGCTACCCACGTCAACCTTACGGAACATATGACCACGCCTTCCGGCCCATAACATGTTGCCTTCCGGACCAAATCAAGCATATCATACATGGCACATATAACGAATATCTTATCACACATATACATATATCTCATATCATAATCGAACTTCCGGTCACACAGTCAAACCCTTCCGGGTACAGTATAGTGAGAAGACTCATCTCGAATGCCTCGCTAAGTCGCTAATCGTGAATCCTGGAATCACTCGTGCTCGAACCCTCGAGCTGTAATCCTCCTATGATATCATGAATCTATAATTATTACTTGTACCACTAAGGTTGACCATCCATATCAAGTCAACACGGTTGACTTGGTCAACAGTCTTTGGTCAATTGGACCGGACTCGGCGAGTGCACTATAGTGACTCGGTGAGTCTACGCGTTTTAACCAACTCGCAAGGATTTTCCCTTTGACTCGTCGAGTACTCCCCCGACTCGACAAGTTCCACCTGGGCCTGAATCACAGGGCCACTGTGACTCAACTCGCCGAGTCTCAAGGACAACTCGGCGAGTCCCAACTTGACTCGGTCCACCTGTCAAAACCTTGCTAACTCTCTGCGACTCACTGAGTCACCCACAACTCGGTCAGGATTACACACTGGGTGGTCTCAAGGACAATCTTCAAGCGACTCGTCGAATCTGTTCTTCAGACTCGGCGAGTCCATGCCATGCACCAGCTAAAACTGGTTTTTGCGGTCGGATCCGTTCCATACATACATAGATCTGGCCTTCCCAAGCTTATTTGTCACGTAAAGTCTCAGTCTTGGTCGCCATGCAACGCATACAAGGCTCATTTTGTAGAAATAACCTCTAATATGGCAACCCTAGCTTCTAACTCAAGAGAATGGACATAAAGCTTGTCATATGGGGCCTCTTGGACCTGCTAAGGTCCAGATCTAGGTTCCATATCTCCATGGGACCTTTCATTCTTCCAATTTAAGCCAAGAAATGCAAGAAGAAACCCTAGATTTGACACATCAACCCAAAATACGAAGTTTGGCTCTGAAAGTTACCTCAAGAAGGCTCCCTTGATGAAATAGAAGCAGATCCAAGCTCCCCAACTCTTCAAGCTTGATCTTCTCCCTCCTTTCTTGCAATAATACACAAAATGATGAACAAATGGCCTCCTAACACACTCACAAGGGCTCACAGTCGTATGGGTGCTCTTATGGTTCAAGGTGCCGCAAATGAAGGCCATAAGGTCCTTTAAATATGGCTTAGGACTGAGAAATTAGGGTTTCATTAAACAGCGCGGACTCGCCGAGTCCATCCCTTGGACTCGCCGAGTCCAGACGCGAACCTCCGCCCAAAACCGCGACCCGACTCGGCAAGTTCAACCTCCAACTCGCCGAGTCCCCTCACAGAATATCAAAAAAAATATGAAAGTAAGGATACCTGGGGATCCGGGCTGTTACAATTCTCCCCCACTAGAATAAGACTTCGCCCTCGAAGTCCCGCTAGGCAAATAGCTCCGGATGTTGCTCCCGCATCTCACGTTCCGGCTCCCAGGTCATCTCTGATCCCTTCTGATGCTGCCACTGAACCAATACCAGGGGTCCTCCTTGTTCCTCAAAACCTTGATCTTCCGATCTCTGATGGCTACTGGTCTTTTAGCATAATTCACGCTTGCATCCACCTGAATATCCCCTAATGGAACCACCGTCGATTCGTCGGCTATACACTTCCTCAACTGCGACACATGGAAAGTGTCGTGAATCTATCCCAACTCTGCTGGCAAGTCTAAACGGTAGGCTACCCGGCCCACCCTCACGATCACACGGAAAGGACCAATATATCGGGGCCCCAACTTGCCCCTCTTCCTGAACCGAATCACTCCTTTCCAAGGAGAGACTTTCAGGAGTACAAGATCACCAACTTGAACCTCAAGCTCGGACCGTCGCCTGTCTGCATAACTCTTCTGTCGGCTATGAGTGGTCAACAACCTCTGCCTGACCATCTGAATTTGCTCGGTCGTCTGAAGCACGATCTCCGTGCTACCCATAACCTGCTGTCCCACCTCACCCCAACAGATGGGGGTGCGAAACCTCCACCCATACAACAGCTCAAAGGGCGGCATACCAATGCTCGAATGATGGTTGTTGTTATACGAGAACTCTGCTAAAGGTAGATAGGTGTCCCAGCTCCCTCCGAAGTCCAACACACATGCCCGAAGCATGTCCTCGAGTGTCTGAATCGTCCGTTCACTCTGACCGTCTGTCTGGGGATGATATGCAGTACTGAAATGTAACCTAGTACCCAACTCCTCATGGAACTTCTTCCAGAACCTGGAAGTGAAACGCACGTGACGGTACGAAATAATCGAGATCGGCATCCCATGCCGAGATACTACTTCCCTCACATATAACTCGGCCAA